GCACGGCCCCCACACGGCGGCCGCGGGTCACCATACAGGTGGGCACGGGGGCAGCCCGCATCCGCCGCGGCGTCTCCCCGGCCTCCTGCGCGCGTTGCGCGTCGCGCACGTGGCCGTATTCACGGCTGCAGTTGCAGGCAGCTGCTCTAAACCTTTAGCACTGAATGCAGACTTTCAACGTTGCATGGTCACACTTAAGGTAATAACATTTTTAGAAGTTTAAATGCTTCTTTTAAAAATCTGTTCTGTTTTTTTTTTTTCCTGCAGAAGACGAGTACCCCAACAGGTACTAGATATAGTCCACTTTTCAGATTTAAAAGTGAAGGAATAGGTCTAATTCCTAAGAATAAAAGTTACCTATCTCCCCTTCAGACCCCTGAAGCAAGTGAAAATACAACAAGGGTTTGTGTCCTTCATCACAAGGAGCAGGTTAAGGGAGCAGGGCCTATCTTTGCTTGCTCCTCATCACTAGCAGGAATCAAGTTCATAAAAATTAGCAAACTGCTGTAGTTGCACAGAGTCATCTTCAAAATGGGTTCAGAGTGGTCGGATTTTGAGACAAGCTGGGGAAGAGTTAGCAGGTGCAAGGATGTTCTACCAGGAAACTCCTCACTCAGGAGACTTGGACGGAGTTGATGACATGGGAAACTCAGGTTGCCAACATTCTGCAGAGTAACCCAGAGACACTGGGAAAATGAGTTGTGTCAGATTATGAAGGCTGAAGAAAGGCCAACACCTTACATCCCATTACCTAATGGATTTTGCCAGCATTATCTGAATGAGTCCTCTCAAGACCAAGGGCTAATCCTACTTCTCCTTTGCTGCTAGTCTGCTTTCTTGAACTCCACTCTCTTCTTTCATAAGTCCTTCTGGACCTAAGGAGACATATCTGTGAAAATTGTTTCTCACATGTTAGCTTTGTGGAGCCAGCTATGCTATCCCAACATTTAATACAGCTTTTCTTGCATGGAGTTCCTCAGATTTAATACCTTGCCTCTGAGAGTAAGGTGCTGTCGAGCACGGCTAACAGAAAGCTCAGTGCTAGCTTTGACTAATTTGATCCTGACGTACACGGTACTAGTCCATGTCTGCATAATTCATTCATAGTTTGTGCCAGAGGAATCTCTTACTTCATGAGTTAAATTTTATTCATAGCTGAAGTGCACATTCAAAATAAGACTGGGCTATTGTGGAGGCAAAGACTTATAAAAATTGAAAACTCCCTTTGAAACACATGCTTTCCAGTAAAAGCAGCTAGCAAAATGCAAAACACGGTCAACATTCCAACACCATGATGTCAATTTTCATATGCACGGACAAAACACTACATGCAGAAATCAACTCTCCATCAGATCTTCCTTATTTATGATGTGCTTGTGTTTTCGTCTTTATTTTCATTAGCAAGACTGCACCATGCAATGGAGAGTACAACCCCTTAAAAGGTTCAAAGCAATCTTCTGAATACATTATAGCTGGCGAAAGGCCACATCAATTTTTAAAAAGTGAATTTCCATGTTCTGCTGCAGTCCTTTTGAAAAATAGCATACATGCTCCAAGGACTGGTTTTGATGTTTCCCTCTGCAGTAGTTCAGAGAAATTCCTGCCAACAGGGATGGCCTGGAACACCTGATAAAATGCTCTTCCATGACACACAGTAAAAACTGACATGTAAAAAAAAAATGGAAATTGCTTCAAATTTTGCAAGCTTTATAAGCAGCAGGCAAATTATCTTTCAGAGTATCTGTGTCTTTTTCCAGAAGGATAAACACAGCCAATTTCCAGGAAAACTAACAGCTGCAGACACAGCTTTGAATGCCATCTGTCCTTAGCAGTTACACGAAGAAGAGACGAAGTGATTCACACCGCACAACAGGAAACACAATAACCAACCAGTGAGCACTAACGAGTTGCAGCTTCGCTTTGCTTCCTATGGGCAGGTCTCACTCAGGTCTCAGGCAGAGCGCCCGAGGCTTCCCTGGCAGCGTCGCTCCACTGCGGAACGTCGCCCTGTCGAGCTAGAAAGCCTCGATTTTACAAACTAAGGACTCAGTTGTGGCACAGCAACCTAATGAAGGCTGCAGGGCTCCGCAGCCCGAATCCGATTCCAGGACTCAAGTTCTAGGCGTCTGAGTCCTCACACTGAATCAATGTGAACTTCCAGAAGAAAGGGAAGGCTGGGGCACTCCTGTGTTAGAGAGAACAAGGTCTTTCCTTCAGCATCCTCGAGGAATTGCCATTCCCATTTAAAGTAATGAAGAAAAGGCCACAATTCCTGCATTTTCCCCTCATTTTTAAATAATAGCTTTTATGTGACATGTGACAGATGACATACTGAGGTCTCAATTCAGCAAGAAAAATGAGCAATTACAAAAAGATACATCACTGTTGTTTGCTCAGGGCATAATTCAAGCAAATTTTGAAGATCATAGCAAGACCCACAAGGGTCATGAGGATGGTCTTCTACAGAAGGAAGCTTTCCTTATTAGCAGTTTAGTGTTTCATGCACATCTCTGCTGCCCTTGCACAAACCAAGCAAGATTTAAAAAACCTAGATTCAACGTATAAATAAAAAACTGCAGATAATTTTCACTTTCAAAGTAACACTGCTCTTTAAAACTAGGTAAAGATTTAGAAGGTTGCAAGTTAAAAACAGGTGATGCTAACAGGATATTTGCAAGACCCATGAGACTTGCAACATTAAGTGAAATGTATTTGCCTACTGATCTAATTGCTTACTAATTTTCAAATCTATTCCCTCTGGATAAGTAATGGCATTTTAAGCCAGCTCCTGGCATTAAAAACACATCTAGAGTTTCCTCTTAGCAGAAGATAAACAGCTGCATAGTAAAAAGCCATACATTAAGGTGCCATTCTGGAGGTTTTTGTTGTAATTTTTAATCAACCTATTGTGTTCTCAATGTAACTGAAAAACGAAGGAAAGGGAAGTGGGAAATGCATTTGGGTGCACAGTTTCATAACCAGGGTGAAGGCAAAGTCTCATTCAAGCAAGCAAAGTGTCTGGAATATTTGCAGCTCACAGAAGGACTGCTCACATGCTCAAAGGGGATTTTAAGCCAAGCCTTATTTAGTAAAATATCAGAAGTCACTACTCTTATCTTGCTCAACAGCAAGGAAATAGTGGTGGGTGTTTAAAAAATAAACTCCTCCAGCAACCATGCAGGATGACCCAAATTTATTGCATACCTTCAAAAGGCTCTAAAGCTTTCAAGTTGGAAGATGGGCCAGAAGCATATAACAAAAATGTCTGTAGAGCTGAAAATGAATAACTGACTGTTGTAAATACACACACACACACAAAAAAAAAAACACACCCCACAACCACAGGCAGACACAAAGGAGCTCAGAATACCTGCCTAGGGTTTGAACAAGCTCTTCTCTGCCCAAAATACATCATCAGACATCTGGAGCTTGGTGAATATATTTCTTTAGCATTAGTTTTTAGATTATGAGTCATGACCACCAGTACCAGAGACTCTAACTGAAGTGTTGCCCTAAGGAGCTAATGGCATCAGCAGATCTGAGCTGGGCAGACAAGGACCTGTCTCGTCCATCAGCAGCTGTACGTGGGCAGCCAGAGCAGAGCACTGCGGAGTGAGTAGGTACCAGCCCTCCCTGCAGTGCCCTCCTGGACTCCCAGCGGTTCTTCTGAGCCCGCTCTGGTTTGCCCATTCAGTCACCTTAGTGGCTGTTCCAGGTACTTCTCCCGTCTCCCCTTGAATCCTGGTAAAACTGGCGATCCAAACGAGCAATGAGACCTTGAAAACTGTTAATAAAGGAGGACCCTCATGAGAGGAAGCTGAAACATATCTCAGCATCTTTGATCAGTTATGCAGCCACAGAGAGCACTGAGCTTGTTTAGCTCTCTTCTTTGTCACCACTGCTCTACCAGCAAGGGGCTGCAGGAGTGGGAAAAGAAAGGAAAGCTCCCTGGAAAGAACCAGTTGGGAATGGACTGGAGCTCTTACTTGCAGCATCTTTTTTGCATTTCTCTGTCAATATATAACCTGGAGCATCCAGAAATACATGGAAATTGCAGCAAAGCAAAGGAGATGCCAGGTTTGGTTTTGTTTTGTTTTTGTTGGTTTTTTTTTTGTTTGGTTTTTGGAGCTAGCTAACTTGTTGCTCAATCAGGCAGCTGGGAATAAAGCCAGTTTCTGTGGCCTTCTGAGAGCTTCTGCAAGGTGCAGGCCAGAAAACATTTACTTTCAAAGAGAGCCCAAGAGAAAACGGTGCCATGCTCCCAGCACTCGCTGCTTGTGCAGGTACATCCCTGTCAGCTGCCTGATCTGCTGCCTTTTAGTATCAGAGAATTAAGCTAAAACTCTTCCTGATGTCCCTACTGACTATACAGGGAGCTCCTATAGATCATTTCATACATATTCACACTATAAACTATACCCTTTTCTGTTTGCATGCACAAGAGACTGTATCCGATAAGTCTAGAGGAGTTTAGATTTTTGGCAAACCACCTAGTGACAGAAAAAGCATTATATACAGAAATGCATGTTTCTGCATATAAACAAATGCTCCACTTGCGCTACAAAGTAGCCTCATTAACCAGTTGGGACCTCCCACCATGGCACAAATGACAGCTGTTAGCATACAGCAACATTCTAGTAATTACAATCATAAATGCATTTTTAATATTGCTTCACTATTTAGTTGTGCTGACTTGCATTCAGTGCGTTTCTAGTGGATCCAGAAGCATGACAAACTGACAATTCTTGGAAACTGCATTTCTCAAAACAGACTAAGAATACTGTTTTCATTTTCTCTCTATAATGATGTTAAACCTAATAAATACAAAATTAGAAACAGAAATAACATTGTTCCTAAACAATTTATGTAATAAGCTGGCTGGAAGGGCTATATCAGGCCACGTTTTCAAAACTTGCCCTCCCTTTAAATACATATGATGCTTATACCTGCACTTTTCAAGTATTACTGGGTATATACACACGCCAGTGCTAGAACTTACACATCAGAAACTTATTTTTCCAAAAGAGCTTTAAGAGTGAAAGTTTATGTTTAATCTAAATATGCAGACAGATGGTTAGCCAGAGTTTTGGAAGTGCCTAAGGCAGCTAACTGCTTTGTTCCCATTGGATTAATGGAAATTTAGCCTGTAATTTGTTTTTAAAAACCCAGCCTAGCACCATACCTAAGAGCATTTGTGTTAAACTTAATGGCTCAAATCTCACTGAAACTCAAAGGAAAGGCTCAATGTCACACAAACCCTTCTGAAAAATGTTACTATAGTTGCACTAAATTTATCATCCCTGAGCAGAAGACACTGCTCAAAATGTGAGTTCTCAAAACTATGTTTGTTACTAGAATTTGGGCTGAGGCTATTTTGAAAACCCTTAAATTTAAGGGCACTTGATAGTCTATAGAATTCAAGTAATATCAAGGAAAAAAAAAGTTATTTTCATGCAAAGCAAAGTTATTTAGATACATTCATCAAAACCTAAAGGAGATATTTACCAGCAAAAATGAGTGCAGACAGTATAGCAGAACTGCAGTGCTGCACACTAGAAAATGTGAGTCTTGTTCACAAGAGGAAGATTTGCTCTTCTAAGGCACTTGTGCACATCTGATGTTTTACCCTAGAGACACACGAATGAGAGACGGTAGGATTCTGCATGCACTATAGCAAAAGTTGGAAGTAGATCAGTAAGCAAGATACCTACCAAAAAAACCCCAAAAAACAAAAAAAAACAAACCTATAAACATTAGCCCTTCCATTCTTTCCTTCCCAAATAACAGAAACAAAATTATTATTCCAAATAACAGAAACAAAATTATTATTCCAAAACCTGCAGGAAAGTGTAAGATTCTATCAGAATAAGAATACAGATAGATGAGTAACTATTAGCCTTTATGATCACTAAGCCTTCAAAAGGAAATTTATACAACATTTAGTTGCCTGCAGAAGTCCAGCTAGGGTCAAATCTAGACTCACTGATGAGAGCCTGTACTGTACCCCATCAGCTGCTTGCTTCTCCTTTCCAACTTCTGTCTGCATAACCAGGAAAAAAAGCAAGCAGAACAAAAAGCCAACCTCTCTCACTTGTCTCTCTGGAGTTGCCGTGGCTATATCCAATGTCCTTTCTGGAATGCTGGGCCCACTAGCAAACTGCAGTTCTAAGACAAACCCACTCTTTCACCACGCACAAGCTCCCTCTGTTTTACAGAGATTCTGCATCTGACAAATTACACTGGGACTGTCCAAGACAGACTGTGCTGGACTGCACATGGCCACAAGACTTACGCTCACTCTGTGTTTGTATCAAAGCTATGCAAGACATCTTTAGGAATCAACTGCACTTAAGTGCACAGTATCCATCTATGCAAACGTTGGACCTGGCTGTTAAGTCGGCGTGTTAAGATTTTTATTTAGTTGATAACACCAACAGTATGTATAGAGGCTCAATTGTAAATCCTTCATCACTTAATATTTGTATTACCTCAATGCAAGCCACATATTTTAACATTTTCTTAAACTTTACCTCCTGGATTCAGGTGAACACACAGAACTCTGTTTTAATCTTAATAACTACTTAGCCCTGATAAGCCCAAATAAATGCCCAAATGTGAGGCATCTACAGTTTCAAAAAGTAGAAACAAATAAAAGGGACACAATTTTAACATATATTTTTTTCTTTTGAAGCCAAATCATTATTCTAAATGCCCAAATCTTCATTTTCATATAGCTGGCAAAAAAAAAACTTTGATATTAGCACAACTGATGGTATAAATTTTCCATAGTGCAAAGGCCAAAGTGCAGTTTGATGCACACAACTGACACCTCAGCACAGATTATCTCTATGTCCAAATTTGGTAGGGAATAAGAAGGCTCCAGCTGCACCAAGCAGACCTCAATGAGTAATTATCAGTGACTAACCTTGCAAGTACCTACTAAAACCAAAGCTCATCCTCCAGCTATTTGTTCATTAACTTCCCCCCCAAGAGAAATTAGGAATCACTGGTTGCTGCAACAAATTATTCCTATACTGAAACTACTCTTAATTTTTTCTTTTTTTAGTTTTGTTTCTATCTAGTTTTAAATCAGCATTCTGCAGATCTACACACAACTGATTTGAGAACCTCAGCCTGTTTGTCATGATCTTGTCAGAAATTACCATTACAGTTAGCACCAATTCCTATGTTGGAAAATGCAGCACAGAATTCAAAATCCAGCTGGATATGAAGACTAAATGACCTTTGCCCCATTGGAAATGCATTGGTTTGGATCATACTTCAGCTGAAGAACCAAGATTGACTTTAATGAATTGTATCACTGAGTATCACAGTCATCATTATTTTTTTAACCCCAAAAAAAGGAAAAACAAAGCAATGAAAGGGTAAAATAATCATTGATATCAATGGGATTCTTGGTCATCTCCAAGATAAATTTTCAATTAGAGTATATTTTTTAAAAGTATCCACATACAGTTTGTGACTTGAGTCAAAAGACTGAGATTCATCACAAGTTTTCTGGCCATTCAACTCTTTTGGATTGCAAATTGGGGGCAACAGCAGTTCAGATCCTATGAGCAGTGGTTGAGCAATTATTAGTCATAAATTCAAAGTAAGCTCAGGAACTTACGTAAGTTTTCTGGTAAGGCTGTCACAGAGTTACAAGCTTGTCAATAACATTGAATAAGTCAGAATACTTTCTGCAGAGTCTCAAAAGTGTTATTTTTCTCCAGGAAAGGCATTTAAGTCTTCAGACAAAGACTAAAACCACAAGCCCATTGAGGCTGATGGCAAAACTCCAGATGGGTCCAGAATTTCAGCCTGCCTACAAAAAAGTGAAACTGCTTCAGATTTAACTGTAGATTTGCAAATCTCATCCTGATTTTTTTTTTTATTAAGGTTACTAAAGGTTTAAGAATCCTCACTATTGTACGGCATGTAGATCATAATCTATTCTCTGAACATCAGCATGCAATACATTCAGTGACTATAAAACAGTATTCCAAAGGTTTTCCACAAAGATGGTCTCCAAGTCCACTATGTCATATAATGGACATCAGATTTTTGGACCAGCAAAACCTAACCTTAAAGACATTTACTATGTTGGTAGCTTTTGGCAGATCAGTTATGGCAGAATCATTTTGAGCAAGATAATGCTTTCAGCATGTATATCTTCTGCATCCAAAATATCACAGATAGTTAAAAAATATAATGCATGCAGGGAATGCAGCAACATAAGTCATGGAAGCAACCAACAGTTTATTCAGTGAATATGTGACCCATGAAACATTTCTTTTCCTAGAAATCCAGAGCGCGCACTTCTTAAAATATCCTGACACAGCACATTTGCTATCACTCTTTTCCTCAGACGTTAGCAACCCCACGTCTTTCGAGATAAAATGGACCAACTGAGAAGGCTTCGCTAGGACAGGAGGAACACCTAAGAAAACAACACTGAATTGCTGACTGGGAAACAACATAGCAGAGAATAACTCTAAAATGAATCCACAAATAAAATTCTTGATGATACATCCCGTCTATGTAAATCTGCTAACAATCACTTCTTGCTGCCATTAATCCATTAGTAAGGATGTACAGATATACGTTCTTACATCTATTACATAATATAACACTGTCTAGTTGAATGTTATCACACAAGGCTTATCTTAAGAGGTTAAGAGACTGGTACCAGGCTGCATCCTACAGTTTCAATTACCAGTATATAGCCATATCCACACAAGAGAACTTAAACAGCATAACTGCACTTAAACACTTCTACTTGGTTTATCAATTCGCCTCCTACCATATGAGAAAAATAAAGCATCTCTTAGGTATTTCCACTAATTCTGTTTGCATATTTAACAATAAGTGAATACGAATATTTAAATCCGAAGATAAGGCTATAGCTAACTAATATACACAAATACACATGAAGCATACAGACATCATTTGCTTGCATTAACACTGGCCATAGGCTGCTGCAGTTCCCCTCACTCGAGCTGCATCAGTGCAACTCGACAGTCTCCCCCCGCCCGCAGAAGACTGAAGCCCAGGCCTAGCTCATAAGCTTCCTAACAAGCCAAGTTCATAGCACAGCTCTTGATCCCAGGACAGATTCAATGAGCAGGGAGCTTAGCAATGCCTCCCTAGTAAACCACTCCCTAGGTTATCCTATAAAACTGAAGTAATCTGCCAGTAGAGCCACTGATCTGCCCATGACAAAATGCCCTTGTCGCAAACCCGAGACACGGCTGCCTGTTAGCACAGTGCCTCGCTAAGCCCTGCGCAGAGCCTTTCCCCGTGCTCCTTGAGAATCCGAGAGCTCCTGCAACCAAAGTTAACTTTCATTTCTTCTCAGTAACAGCTACCTCTTTTTAACAACTTCTCATGTTAAAGTTTTTCTTGCGTTACACTCGTACCACATTTCCACCGCATTCTTTTTAAATGGTCGTTATTTTGTTCCGTACCTGCCTCCAGCAGGATGAAATTAATCAGTTGCACATAAGTGACATGGCAGAGACTTGTGACCTTGCCCAGCATCCAATTGTTTCTAATTGATTAGCTCCAGACATAAGCACTTGAATAGCCAAAAACAACACAAGTGGAAGCTATGGTACAGTATTAGGGTAGAAAAACTGTGTGTGGTCCATATAGCATGGCCCCAAGCAACCAATTAAAGAATTAATGGTTATTGGATACCAAAAATGTTATGTTAAATACTATAAAATATCTTTAATGTGACTAGAACTGTGATAAAACACCTAAAATTTAGGAGCAGAAGGGCCTCCTACAAGAGTGGGGTTAAGTGCTAATGACTCAAATATGCCAACTACATTAGTTTTTATTTAAAAGGACAATCAAGACCAAAAAAAATTGACCTAGATGGAAATATTCATGAAGCTACCTATAATAGCCTATTGATTACTACAATGTGTTTGGGTTGTTTTTATTACAAAAAGACAAGTGAAGCTATGCCAAACCATTTGTGGAGAAGATGAAACTATGCCATTACTGGTTCCAGTTCTAAAATGAAATAAATATGAAAGAAAAATTATAAGAGAAAAATGTTAGAAATAAATATGAAAGAAAAATTATAAGAGAAAAATGTTATAAAAGAGAAAAAGTTGGTCTCTTCGTAACCCAAAGGCCCAAACACAAAGCTGACACTTCCCTTCCCTGTACTTCCACTCTCATCTTACTCAGAACTATGAAGTGAACTTTACATACCATTTTCTGAGCATTTTATAGGTTATTACAAAGTCATTCAACTGCTTACATGCAAAAAAATACAAGAACAAGCCCAGTAAACCAGGAAAGTTTTGTTCTTACAGAAGAAAGAAGTAACGGCAAAAAGCAAAGGGAGAGACCCCGCTCTCCTGTCGGCAGGGCTGAGCACCCAAGCACTCTCGCAGCAAAGAGCCACCTAAATTTTGACTTACATGGCAAGTCCATTACTCATAACAAGTTGCCATGATACCAGGTAACCAGCGTATTTTCAAGACCAGCTAGCATAGACCAAGACAA